TCTCTTTACACAGCGAGAATATGCAGAGTAAAGAATGGCATTTAAATCAATAGTTAATATCCAGCCTTTCAAATTAGTCATAGTCTCCCATAATCCTTGTTCTGATATAAATAACCTACCGTATTATGTTCTTTGACTATCTTTGTAATCCACAACATCCTAATTTAGGGAATGTTAAATTTAATTTAGAGACTACTGTATCCTCTTACAATAGTGCTTATTTATCACTCTATAGAATAATCAGTTTGGTATAGTGGTTAAAATACCAGTCTAGAAATCAGGAGATTGAGTTCTAGTCTCATTTTAGGAATAAAGCCAGTTGGGTGACCTTGGCCAGTAACTCTCTGTTAGCCCTAGAAAGGCAGCAATGATGAACCACTTTCCAAAAGTGGTTTTGCCAAGAAAACCGAAGGGTTTTCATCCATCACAGGAGTTGACACTGATTTAAAGTCACATATAATGTTATAAAGGCACCCTGACATCAATTGGGAGAAAAAGTCTGCATCAAGAGGGAGATTGAATAGGTTCCTGAAGAACCTAGCCAACAATTTTATCATTCCAAAAGGCAGAGGAGGAAACTAAAGGGTCAGCTATACTGGAGCCAATTTTTACTAACAGAGAAGAAACAATAGAGGGGATTGAAGTTGCCAGAACTTTAGGTGAAAGTGACCATGTCATATTTGAATTCAATATAACACAGACACAAGCAATAGAACATAATTAAATCAGTGTCTTAGACTTTAAAATAAATAATTTTAACAAACTGAGAGAGAGCTTGGGAAGGATTCCATGGATGAAAATCTTAAAGGGGAAAGCAACTCAAGAAAGTTGGGAAACTTTAAAAAATATGATTATATGAGTCCAGTCTAGCACTTTACAACTGAAAAAGAAAAAGAAGAAATCCAAGAAGAAACCAGCATGTTTGCACAAATTCTCTAATAAACGTAAAGACAAATAGGATATGTATAAAAAATGGAAAGGACACATAACTAGGGCAGACTACCAACATATAGCCCAAATCTGCAAAGATGAAATCAGGAAAGCTAAGGCTTGGAATGAACCAAGGCTTGCAACAAATGTCAAAAATAGTAATTTAAAAAATTCTTTCAAAATGTAAAAAACAAGAAAAAAGTCAAGGAAACAATCGATCCACTAATGGCCAACTCACCTTGGTCAATTCAACATTGGACAACTCTTCATGGCCAACTCTACACGGGACAACTCACTATGAGACAATTTAACAATTCTAATTATTTAAAATAAATAAAGAACTATTTAAATGTTTGCCATTCACATTTCTTTCTGTCCTTCTTTTGCATCCTTTCTTTAATGATTCTATTCCACCATTTCTTTAATATTAGTGTAACTTTTGTCCTATAGCAAGTTGTCCTGCAACAAATTGGCCATGGCGAGTTGGCCTGGTCAAATTGGCTGTGGTTGAATTGGCCACAGCAAATTGTCAAGACCCTCTTCAGCAATGTCTTTTTCAATGTTTTAATCTACTTTATGCTTGATGACCTTCCATCGAAGTATAACCAAGGAAGTACTCTTTTAGCTTCCCAGTCTGACATGATTTGCCAGATACATACATTATTACAATAATATTAAATTTGGAAGGCTTGTGACATATATAGAAGCCATACAGTATATCTTGCATATTTAAACAATCAGAGGCCAATTTAAAACCACTAATTACATTGTACAATGAACTCAAAATGTCCGAGCAGGCAAATTTTTAATTGAAGTAGATTTAGGATGTAATTCTATATCCTTTAGCAGGGAACAAGGCCAATTTAATATAGAACATTTTATTCTGGATCTTCAAAGGGATGTATTGTAAAACATGGGACAATAATATTCAAACAATTCCTCTGATCATCCTTAGTAGAGACTACAAGGAAAACTCTAAAGCTCCATATGATTGCTATTATTTTCCAGAACACATAACTGATGCCTGTTTCATTCCTAGCATATTATGCTCATGCTGTATTACTTACTTCATGTACGAATAACTTGACAATATAAGGTTTGCCAAGATCTGAGTTAAGCCCCTTAGGCATTTCTCCCTGAGATTCTTCTATCATTGCCTCTGATAAAATATGCTTCTCAGAAAACAAACTTTTTTCTAAACAGTTATGTAAGACTCTGCTTAGTTTAATATTATTTTCTTACAATCCTAACACCACAGCATGTCAGTTGATTTTCTTGGGTAGCCTCACCTTTCCAGCTTGGCTTGTTAGTAACTCATATAATGAAATATGGGAGAAGCAATGATCTCATTGTAATGGGGAGAACTGTTTTTTCTGTTGGCTGCATTATCTGGAATTATTTCCTCAGCTTTCTCCATTCTAACATAGAGGGACATACCAAAATCAGCTGCAAATCTTTGCAGGATGGATGGACAGCATTGGGTTCAAGAATGTGAGATTTACTGGATATGAATTCCTTTGTCAGTTTATTGCAATTTCAGTAATGAACAAAATACACAACTCAAGGTTGAACTGTTGGGTTCTTTGAGCCCAGATGTTCTCCTGTAGAAGTTTCACTATTAAGGCAAATAACATCACCCATGTTATCAGCAAAACAATCAAGATCAGAGAGCACCAAGAATGCTATAATTCCCTCAAGAATCCCAAAATGATTCCTAGCATTGCTCATGGAGAACAGTCTCTCCCACAGTTACTGATACACAGTAATATAGTCCAGGCTGTGAAACTTCATAGCAGCAGTCATGGGTTTGTTGATGTTCCCCCAAGCACATCTTTGACTGCATGCAGAGGCAGCTATGAGGTCTGAAAGTTTGGTCAGAATGATGATACATGCAAACCCCGTCCTTTATCTTTATTTACCTTTCTTTTACCTGCCATAGGGCTTTGCACACCAAAACAACCAGACACAAAGACAGTTTTTTTTCCTCCAGTGCTATCACTCTGCTAAACAACTACAGGTAGTCTTTGACTTAAAATACCTTGTTTAGTGATTGTTCAAAGTTAAAACGGCACTGAAAAAAAAGTGATTTATGACCATTTTTCACACTTACCACAGTTGCAGCATCCCCATGGTCACGTGATCAAAATTCAGACACTTGGCAATGGTGGTTGTAGTGTCCTGGGGTCATGTGATCTCCTTTGCAACCTGACAAACAAAGTCAATGGGGAAACCAGATTCACTTAACAACTGTGTTCCTAATTGAACAACTGCAGTGATTTACTTAACAGCTGTGGCAGCAGAGGTCATAAAATGGGACAAAACTATGTATGATAACAGATAACAGATTACAGATGATCAGAGTTGGAAGGGACCTTATAGGTCATCTAGTCCAACCCCCCACCCAAGCGGGAGACCCTACACCATTTCTCACAGATGGGAGTCCAATCTCTTCTTGAAAGTCTCAAGTGAGGGTGCTCCCACAACTTCCGAGGGCAAGCTGTTCCATGGGTTGATTGTTCTCACTGTCAAAAAGTTTCTCCTTATTTCCAGGTTGAATCTCTCCTTGTTCAGTTTCCATCCATTATTCCTTGTCTGGCCTATAGGCGCTTTAGAAAATAGCTTGATCCCTTCCTCCCTGTGGCAGCCCCTCAAATATTGGAAGTATAACAAGGTAACTCCTTATTATTTGTAAAAATAATAAAGGTGGGATACAAGTAAAAGCAAGGCAATCATAGGATGGGTCCCAATTGATCAAAAGCGTCTACGAAAGAGACCTAAAACAAGATGGATCGACAACATCAGCAAGTATTGTGGGCCTGATTGGCAAAAAAACAACAACCCTCAGGACCATATTGGTTGGAAATATGCAGAAGAAGCCTTCATCTTGCAGTGGCTAGACAATGGCTAAAACGATGATGATGATGATAAATAAATATAAATGAATAAATAACCATTGACATTCCTCAATATCTTCTTTAAAAAAACATAAAGAGATCTAAAACTCCTGAAAAGAGAAAAATTAGCCCAATTTTGGGGGGAGAGGGCTTAACAGTATACTGTCTACCCTAAAACCTCTCTAAAATAGAAAACACACTTTTAATTCCATTCCCCATCCTCTAAACATTTGACCCCATATTGTATAAATATTTTGACTCTGCTTGTTTGGGAATTCTGAGGTATTTCTGAATGGCATGGTAGTGGTGTTATATAACAGCACCAAGCGGCCTCCTCATACTTAATATGAAAGTAGTTTTTTGGCAGATAATTGTATTTGGCAACATCAGGAGAACAATCTCAAATCATCCACATTCTTGCATCAACAACCGGAGGGATCCCCAACCTCCGGTCCGCGGATTGGTATCTGTCCACAGCCCGCTGGGAACTTGGCTGCTCAAGCACCAGGCAAGCACACAAACCATCCTCTCCCTCCTGCCACATCTGCCAGTCCATGGAGCTGGAAATGTTGGGGTCTGCTGAGCTAGAAGAATGAGGTAAATGCCCATCAAACTACCCTCCAACTTTATAATGGGATGATTTTAATGCAAATTCTACTCCTAATTTATTTTTGAGGCTTCATATTATTTGGGAATGACTGAGATATCAAAAATTGACTTAAAAGGGCTGGCGTCAAAACAAACAAAAGAATGACTAGTATAAATGAACACTCATGATGGATTTGTAATGGGAAAGATGTTACTACATGTCACGTACTTTACCTACATTCAAATGTATGATTTTGAGCCTCTCGACAGAAAACAGAATTATGAGTTAGAGAAGCTCCGTTTATGATTTAATTGCAGGCTATTTCCTATAAGATTTTGTGCTGCTGGTTTCATTTTATGCTCCTAGTGTGTTGTCTGCAACATGTTTCAATTCTTATCATCATATCAATTTCTAATTACAATTATAAGTTTATCCTCTCTTGTTTTTACATACCGGATGGTAATCAAAAGTACGATTGTCCGTGCTTTTTTTTAAATCCCTAAATGGACTGGAGAATGGCCCCACCTCCTTTGACTCAGTCTTAGAGCACACCTTTACTATAAAAAGACACCAGGGTACTTGAAATCTCTCAGCTAAGAATTTGGATCTTTGACATCTGGATTAATTCGCTTTGCAGGTAAATTTTAATCCTAGGTTTATTTTTTTCTGCAAGTAAAAGGAGAAATGAATGTGCTGAGACGTATTGGATGGGCATTTTAAACTTCAGGTTTATTTTTAATACGTATCTCGGATACAGGGCACAACAGGTGGTTGTTAGGTCAATCAAGATGTATAACCAACCAGTAGTATATTAGTCACAGTTAGAAGCGTAACTTTTAATGAGAGTTCTGAATCTGAAAAGGAAAAAACAACAACAACCTAACTTTGAAAAGATTTGTGGAGGATGATTTTTTTTGTTGAGCAGTGAGCCAATCTCTGTAAAAAAAAAAAACTTTTAAAAGGCAGAACAAAGCAAACTTTTTTATTTTGATGAAATGTACTATGAACGACAAAAGCTTTTGCAATAATGAATGTGTGAGACAGAGCTGTTGTTTGGCTTTAGTATGTATCGATGCATGAAAAGTGTAAGGGGGAAATCAAAGTAAATGAAAAAAGCATACCCCAAACCCAGCATTCAGGGCTGATGACTGGAGTTGAGGGCTCAATCTTTGGACAATTTCCCTTGTGAAATTCCTCCCTCCCAGCTTCTGGTAAACAGTTCCCATTCATTTTACAGGAGGCTCACTCAGACTTCCCAGTGTGTAAATTCCATTTGCACATTTTTTTGTTTTGTATCCATGCCACTAATACAACAAAAGTTGAAAAGTGGGGGCTTATCAAACCGCTTGTTATGTTTTTATGGAAATTTTAATCTCCCCCCCCCAACCAATAGGCTTTTAATAATATTTGTGACTTCTTTACTTACCTTCAGGTTCTCTAGTATGTCTCTATGGAAAATCACTTATATCGACCAGACATTAAAACTGCATTTGGCAATTTCAAAATGAAAATAAAATGAAAACCTCTACTCTTAGTTTGATTAACGATTTGTGCCTTACTTAGAATATAAGGCAGCATGTGAACAGCTTTGAATGATGATCACTCCCTATTACACTCGTATGCATGTTTTGAATGTGTCAGATTTTTTCCCCCTGGCATAAGCTTTTGAGGACATCTAGTGGGTATTATATTTAAATTATTCTTGCACCTTAAGAATTAAAATTAAAAATGAAGTTGGAAAGCTGGATGGAAAGCACTAGCTTTTCCCTTATCATACCTGATTAATTTGAATTAATAACACTCTAATGTTTTATAAGACATTTAAGAGTATTTGGTTACAATTAATTAATAGCTTCGCCAAACATAAAGATCAGGCAGTTCACACACATAACAGGTAATTCTCGACTTACGGCCATAATTGAGCCCCAAGTTTCTGTTGTTAAATGAGAGATTTGTTAAGTGAGTTTTCCCCCATTTTACAACTTTCCTTGCCACGGTTGTTAAGTGAATCACTTCAGCTGGCAAGTTTGTAACCGGTTCTGTGTCTGCTACTCTTCAGAGCTACTGGTTCTGTAGAGCTGGACAGAACCGGTAGAATCCCACCCCTGTTTGTAACCCAGTTGTCCAGTAAATCTGGCTTCCCCGTGGGCTTTGCTTGTCAGAAGGTCGCAAAAGTGACCTTGGGACACTGCAGCCATCATAAATATGAACCAGTGGTGCCAAGCAACTGATATTTTGATCCCATGATCATGGGGATGCTGCCAAGGTCGTAACGGTGAAAAATGGTCATAAGTCACATTCTTCAGAGCCGTTATAACTTTGAATGGTCACTAAAGGCACTGTTGTAATTTGAGGACTACCTGTATCTGAAATATAGTCTGTCCCTGAAGAGTCAGCCCTAGGATTGATAAAAGGCCCTGAATGTTTTGTGTTGTAGCAAAATCACTTGTCTGCAGAGGATCATCAAAACGGAGGCTCAGAGCGTTTGAGGCTGACGTGAGCATTTGGGTTCAGACAGTGGTGGTATTCAGGTTTTTTTAATACTGGTTCTGTGGGCGTGGCTTGGTGGGCATGGTGTAGCTTGGTGGGCGTGGCTTGGTGGGCATGGCAGGGGAAGGATCCTGCAAAATCTCCATTCCCACCTCACTCCAGGGGAAGAATACAGTAAAATCCCCGTTCCCTCCCCACCCCACTAACCTGCTTTCCAGCTCCGTTCTCCTGTGCAGGGCAACAAAAGAAGTCCCAGCCAATCAGCTGGGACTCGGGAAACAGAGGATAGATGGGAGCTGAGCCAGTCAGAGGTGGTATTTGCCAGTTCTCCGAACTACTCAAAATTTCCGCTACTGGTTCTCCAGAACTGGTCAGAACCTGCTGAAAACCACCTCTGGCTGTGACCCAGTAGTAGGCTGCAGCCTATTGGTTGGGGACCCCTGTTCTAGTCCATTTATAACTTTCTTAAACCAAAATCTGGTGTTTTTTTTTTTTGCTTTTTGATTACTATTGCTTTTATTTTTTTTAGCCAGCATTTCAAATTCCATGCATTAAAGAAAGAGGATACAACTCATCAAGTGTCAAATTAAATATTGATGTATTGAACTCAATGAATTTTTCCCTGGTAACTGAAAGGCAAAATAAAATGTCCATACATTTTTGTGGCTATGCTTTTTGCTTTGTTTTTGCATTGTCAAGACAGATCAGTATATGGGTAGTCCTCAACTTTATGACCACAGTTGAGCCCAAAATTTCTGTTATTAAACGAGACGCATGTTAAATGAATCTTGCCCCATTTAACGACTTTTCTGGCCACAGTGGTTCAGTGAATCAATGCAGTTGTTAAGTGAGTAATATGATTGTTAAATGACTCTGGCTTCCCCATTGACTTTGCTTGTCGGAAGGTCGCAAAAGGGGATCATGTCACCTTGGGACATAGCAACGGTCATAAATATGAACTAAGGGCCAAGCGTCTGAATTTTGATTACATGATCATGGGAAAACTACAAAGGTTGAAAGTGTGAAAAATGATCGTGTCACTTTTTTTCAGTGCCATTGTAACTTTGTACCAGAGGTGGTATTCAGCAGGTTCTGACCAGTTCTGGAGAACCGATAGCAGAAATTTTGGGTAGTTCGGAGAACCAGCAAATACCACCTCTGACTGGCCCTGCCCCCATCTATTCTCTGGCTCCCAAGTCCCAGCTGATTGGCCTTTTGTTGCCCTGCACAGGAGAACGGAGCGGAAAAGCAGGTTAGTGGGGTGAGGAGGGAATGTGGATTTTGCAGTAACCTTCCCCCAGGAGTGGGGTGAGAATGGAGATTTTGCAGTATTCTTCCCCTGTCACACCCACCAAGCCATGCCCACCAAGCCACGCCCACAGAACCAATAGTAAAAAAAAATGGAATCCACCACTGCTTTGAACGGTCACTAAATGAACTGTTGTAAATCGAAGATTACCTAAAGTAGGTTATATATCAGCATTGTGTTGCCATTGCACAAGTTCTCCTCTTTAATATACAGGGAAAAGGTGGATCTTGCATTGCTTTAGTTGTTTGCTCCTCCTCCAATCCTTTTCCTGCTCCCCAATGCAGTCTCTGCAACCCCCTATGTTTATTGATGCCCAGCTGGCCTATCTATTATTTATTCCCAGAAGTACCCTTGTATAATTATAAGACATGTTCTGCTATTTTAATTCAAACTTATACAAATGGAGAAAATCAAATGTGCTGAATTTAAATATGTGAAAATATTTACAGACCCCTCACATCCTGGACATAAACTGTTTCAACTCCTACCCTCAAATTGATGCTGTAGAACACTGCACACCAGAACAACTTAGATACAAGGACAGTTTTTTCCCCAAACACCATCACTCTGCTAAACAAATAATTCCCTCAACACTGTTCAACTATTACAAAGTCTGCATTACTATTACTATTAATCCTCCATCCTTCCTTTCACTCATCTCCTCCCACTTATGACTGTACGACTGTAACCTTGTTGCTTGTATCCTAACGATTTTTATTGACTGTTTCCTAGTATGATTTGATTGCTTATTGTACCCTATGACTATTATTAAGTATTGTACCTTATGATTCTTGACTCTTGACGAATGTATCTTTTCTTTTACCGTATGTACACTGAGAGCATTTGCACCAAGACAAATTCCTTGTGTGTCCAATCACAATTGGCCAATAAAGAATTCTGTTCTGTTCTGTTCTGTTCTGTTCTGTTCTAGTCTGGTCTATTCCATTCCATTCCATTCCAGTCCAGTCCAGTCCAGTCCACTCCACTCCATTCCATTCTAAAAGGCAACTTGATGAAAAAAATAAAACCTATTAATGCAGCAACAAGAGGATTGACAATAGGGGTGTCAAACTGGTGGCACACGGGCCAGATGCGTCACATGCAAGCCACGCACCCCCAGCTCCATGAATGGGAAAAACATCGCGAAATGTCACATGACAGCAACATGACGCCATGAGCTTGATACCAGTGCAATAGAGAATATTTGTAGCTGAGGGTTGAACTGTGGGGTCCTTGCTGCTCTGAGCTTGTTTATTTTCTGGCAGACATTTCATTACCAAATTAGGTAACATTATCAGTGCTGGCAGGCAGTGGCTTTGCTCTCTTTTTATATACTACAGGATTTATCAAAGGAAGTTTTATGGGAAAGTGTTAGCCTATTTAAAACCTGAGTCATCACAATGTATGTTTTCTGTTAATATAGTTTCTCACAGAGTTATGTTTCGCTATACAAAGAATGTGTTTCTATGGATTTGTCTTTATTAACTTTCCAGTTCTGCAATTCAGCGGAAAAGGCTCCCAGTGCATCTCAGATGGCAATTTAAGAAAAAAGAAAAGAAAAGAATTTTGTTTCTGATGATTTTTTTTTAAAAAAGGCCACAAAGGGAGGAAAAAAAGAGGCAAGGATGAGAAAGGATATGTTTGGGGTATCAAGTCTTAATTCAAAGATGTGAAACCTGAGGATTATATGTGGTCACTGAGGCCTCTTTTTGTGGGAACTCTCTTTTGCTGGAATTAGTTTCTTATCCCTTGAAAGAGGCATATCTCCATTTTTTTTTTTAAAAAAGCCCCAAACTCTTCCCTAGCCTCAATCCTGCCACAGGAATGATATGGTCCCATGCACTCAGGGACCTTTCTTAAATTTTTGGCCACTGAAAGGTTATCCACCTAATTTGAAGTGATAAAGGCTAATCTCTTCCCTCAATCCAGTAAAAATACTTGAATATTGAGGAAAACAGTAGCTAGCTTCCAGGGGTGGGGGTGCAAATATTTTTACTAACAGTTCTGTGGGCATGGCTAGGTAGGCGTGGCTAGGTGGGCATGGCCATGTAACTGGATAGGCATGGCTTCTTCTGCTGCTTCTTTTTGCAGCACACACACACACACACACTCACACACTACACTCTGTTTTTGTTTTGTTTTTTTTGCCTCTTGGGCTTCAGGGAAGCCTCCTGGGAGGCCGTTTTTGCTCCCAGGAGGCTTCCCTGAGGCCCAGGAGGCCAAAAACTGTGTGTATGTATATGTATGTGTGTGTGTGTGTGTGTGTTGCACGGATGTTTTTTTACTACCGGTTCAGCCAAACTGTAACATTTTTTCACTACCGGTTCACGTGAACCGGGCCGAACCGGTAGAATACCACCACTGCTAGCTTCTCAGGAGATTGGGAGAAAGCTGATTTCCCAGAAAATGAACTGGGTATCAGCATTCCTTAAATTACCTTTGGGCTTCCAATTTGCCACTGTCAAGATAACAAACCGTGTGAAAGACAAAATTTTGAGATTTTTTGGGTAGAAAAACAACCCAGCTTTGGATCAAAAGAAATGGACTATGGGTGCTTTTGAATACAGTGAGTTGTTAGATAGATAAATTAGAAATGCAGTGATTTGCACTTACGGTTTGATTGTTCCTTCAACAGGGTTACTGCTATGAGCTCTACAAAGCACCAGAACTTCCCTAAGATGGCTCAAAAATTAACAGAAGAGGAGGAGGGCTACCACGACGATTCTTCTCCATTATCTGACTCAGGTAGTACTTTAATGCACGCACACATGCACTAACACATTGTTTCCTTCTAAGCTATGTAATAGATTGACTAGATTCAGTCATAATTTAAGAAGTTGTTTTATGATTGCTGACCAGATAAAACATGAGTAGTTCGTTTTGAGAATCGCAATTCATCCTCAGTTTTTATCGCAATGATTTGCAATAATTTGAAAAGGCTAGTCCACAATGTACGACCTCAATTGAGCCCAAAATTTATGTTGCTAAGTAAGAAATTTGTTAAGTGAGTTTTGCCCCATTTTACAACTTTTCTCACCACATTTGTTAAGTGAAACACTGCAGTTCTTAAATTTGTTGTTAAATGAATCTGGTTTCCTGACTGACTTTGTCAGAAGGTCACTAAAGGGGATCACATGACACCAGGACACTGCAACCATAATAAATGTGAGTCAGTTGTCAAGTATCTAAATATAAACCATGTGGTCACGGGGATGCTGCAATGGTCATAAGTGTGAAAAACGGTCACATGTCACTTTTTTCAGTGCAGTTGTATCTCTTTGTTCACTAAATGAACAGTTGTAAGTCGAAGACTATCTATATTCATAGTCTCAGTTATTCAAAGATGCTCATGGAGATTGGGGAAAGTGGGGTCTAGGACAATTAACCATGGGCGCATGTCTGCAGCCATTCAATCGCCGGTCCCCCACCGCAGCCACTCCGGCATGGGGATTTATTGTTGGCTGGCCCTGTGCTAGCATATTTCCCCCCACCAATGTTCTTCCGATGCTCCTGGCCAATTTGCCAAAGGATACTTGTCTCTGGTGAATCCACAGTGCAGGACAAGTTACTACGTGTCGCCACTCTGCCTTCCCATTGGATGTAGTCCCTTTTCGGCTCGGCTTACTAAAGTGGAAACTGGAAAGGTTGAGGGGGGGGGCAAACCCACTCTGCTTTGTGTGCACATAGGGGGCTGGGATGGTGAAGCTGCTTCCTTCCAGATGTTCCATTTGTGTGATGGCCCGGGGCATGGCACAAAGGCAACACAATCAGATAATCAGCAGATAATTAGCTCCAGCTTTGCCCCCAATGTCCTGGTTACCTTCTGGCTGGAGAAAAACTCTCTGAGGAACAGCCTTTGGCTACAGAGAATCAAGTCCAAAATGTGGTCAACAAAAACTGTAACTATAAGTCCAATCAAAGCAAGATGAGGTAATTAGTCCAGCAGGGCAAGAGAAGGAATTCCATGCATGAAGGCACAGCAATAACTCAACATTGTTGGGAAGACGCTAGGAACACAGATAACTAAAGTTAACACAAAATAAACTCACGTTTGCTCCTAGAAGACGCCGCACTCAGCATGCATCTCTTTTAAATTCTCTTCCCAGGTGTGGCTAATGAAGGCAATCAGGGCCCTTTCCTCCCCCATAAGCCACGCAACCCACATTGCTCTCTTCTCCGTTCCTCCCTGCATGCCCTAGGATGAAGAGGGGGTGGGCCTGGGTCTTCCTCTGAACTCCCTCTCCCCTTGTTCTACCTCTTCCCTGCTCTGCCCAGCTGGACTTTGCCTTTCCCCAGTTTCCACAACAGCCAACGGAGCCACACTCCCACTCCCTATCAGCTGTTCGTCTTCCTCCTCAGTTTCAGACTCTGACAGGGGCACGACAATTTGGTTGCAGAGAGTCTCTTGGCTGAACGCTGCAGATGGCAAGGCAGAGGGTGAGTGGGCAGAAAGGGAGAGATTGGCTAATAACATAGTCCTTCCAAGCATATCCAGAAATGAAGAATTTGTTTTAAGTTTCAGGATCAGGCTTTCCTGCGTTCTGAAGAATAGGTTAAAAAAAGTTTGCGTAACAAAGCCCCCAAGGAAGAGACACAATAAATCTGAAGGACCCCCCCCCCTCAGAAAAGGAACTCACAACCTCACCCCGAGCGCAATCTCTGGAATTGTAGTCAGCAAAAATAAAAAGAAAGCGTTGCAGAAAGTCATTCCCTCAGAGAGAGAAAGAGAAAGAAAGAGGTAGGGGGGAGGGAATACTCACCCCCCCCACCCCTCACAGGTAGAAGTGAATGAAATGACATTATGCATATGAAAATGTCCAGAAAGATTGTTTGCAACAAAGGTTGCAATCCCCAAAAGGGAATCCATTAGCCTCTTTTTAAAAAAAGATGTTTTCTTGTAATAGAAGCATAAGCCACTGATCCTGATCTGTCAGACAATAGTTCTCCTAGTCAATACATTTTCTTTGATCTTATTAGGACAATGTTTTTGATTGATTACAATATCAATCATCTTCTCCTCTTCTCCTTTCTCTTCCCCCCTCCCATATTTCTTTCCTCAACAAGGAAACTCAAACAAGGTCATCTCTTTTTTAAAAACAAGGACTAAGCAGTTCCTCATACAAGATTAAGTTCAAATTATGTTTTAAAACTAAGTCCTTTTTCTCTATAATATTCCCAAAGCAATAAGTAAACTTCAGCTTCAACCACAACAACACACGAGCACACAATAGATACAAACTTAAGGTAAACTGCTCCAAACTTGATTGCAGAAAATATGACTTCAGCAACAGAGTTGTCAATGCCTCGAATGCACTACCTGACTCTGTTGTTACATCCTCAAACCCCCAAAACTTTAACCTTAAACTGTTTACCGTGGACCTCACTCCATTCCCAAGAGGTCTGTAAGGGGGCGTGCATAAGAGCAACAACATGCCTACCGTCCCTGTCCTAATGTCCCCTTTTATTTCTACCCATTTCATGTAATCATAATCATGTTCTGATTATATCTGTTATCTAATACATGCTTGACAAATAACTAAAATAAAAAAATAATAATAATATCAAGTGTATCCTTTATCTTCCCAACCCCCAATAACATCAGTCCTAATAATTTTGGGATAAACACCTTTTATTATAATGGGGGCCTGTGGTGAACACAAACGTGGCTGTGGTTAATTGTCCCATTCTGGGGAAAATATCCCCAAATCATGACAGGCTTGGCCATATGATTGAAGCTCTGCCTTTTTGTTATGTGCATAAAGCATGCACCACATATAAAAATGGTGCAGGGATTCATTCAATTGTGCAGTCATGGGCACAATCTTGACTTTTGATGTGCTCAGACACCCCTGCAGCTTTTGTATGCTTATTTCAATTGTGATTAAAACTGTGCCTTGTGCTTTTTATAAATATTGAGGAAAAGAGGTCTATTCCCAATCTTTAATTTGAATTAGAAAATTCAGCCCTTCCACTGAAAGCAGGAGGACATTTATATAATTAGTTTGGGCCTGATTTCTGTCCTGTTTTAACAAAACAAACTTTAATGAACCACGGTGGTACAATGGTTAGAGTGCAGTACTGCAGACTATTTCTGCTGCCTGCCAGCTGCTTGCAATTTGGCTGTTCAAATCTCACCAGGCTCAGGGTTGACTCAACCCATTGCTGCTGTTGAGTCAGTTGCCAAGCTTCTGAATTTTGATCATGTGACTATAGGGATGCTGCAACAGTTGTTTAAGTGTGAAAAACAGTCATACACAGGGGTGGGATTCTACCAATTCGCACCTATTCAGTAGAACCGGTTGTTAACATTCTAAGCAGTTCAGAGAACCGGTTGTTAGAAGAAATTACTGGCCTAATTCTGTAAGGAAGGCAGGAAGGAAACATTCTGGTGTTGCTTACAGAAGCTGCCTCTCTGTTAACCCTTATTACATTCTTGGCAGGACTAGACTTCCTGTCTCAGGAACTTCTCTGGAGTTTTTTTCCCCTCCTTTGCTGGTACTTTGCTTGTGTGGAGTGACCATTTAAAGTTACAATGGCACTGAAAAAAGTGACATGACCATTTTTCACACTTACGACTGTTGCAGCATCCCCACAGTCATGAGAGGCCAGGCGAGGAGATGCGTGCCTCGATGTGAGTGATGTTGAGTTGGCCACGCCCAGCCAATAACATGACTACCAAGCCAGGTTCACCCAGTCACATGACCACCAAGCCCCGCCCATCATCTAAGCCACGCTCACAGAACCGGTTGTTAAAAATTTTGAATCTCATCCCTGGTCATACATCACATTTTTCAGTGCTGTGAACTGTAACTTTGAACTGTTGTACATCGAGGACTACCTGTATTAGGAGGATTTTAGAGCAAACTTTCTGAAGGCATAGTTTTGCTTAATTCTATAGCATCTCACAAAAATATGTAAATAAATGACTGATCATTTTTCCTTCACAGGTCCACGTGTATTTAAAATATTGCCTAAATGGGTTTCAAAGGCCTCCTACTATTTTGACAAAGAACATTATTGTTATGCTGGCCATCAGATCATCATTCAAGAATCCATTGAATGCTTTGGAGCTGTAGTATGGCCTGCTGTAAGTTTGACACAGAAAAAAAGCATCTCTTTGACTAATAATAAGACAACTCTTAAGTTTGGAAATATTCACTATTGTTTGATGTTCAGACTTTGGAGAAAGTGCAGAAAAGAGCAACTAAGATGATTAAAGGCTTGGGGACAAAAACATATGAGGGATGGCTGCAGGAATTGGGTATGGCTAGTCCAGAGAAACGAAGGACTAGGGGTGACATGATAGCAGTATTCCAGTATTTGAAGGGCTGCCACAAAGAAGAGGGGGTCAATTCATTTTCCAAAGCATCTGAGGGCAGGGCAAGAAATAATGGATGGAAATTAATCAAGGAGAGAAGAAACCTAGAATTAAGAAGCTTCCTAACAGTGAGAACAATTAACCAGTGGAACAGCTTGCCTCCAGAACTTGTAGCTGCTTCAGTGGCACAATGGTTAGAATGCAGTACTGCAGGCTACTTCTGCTGACTGCCAGAAGTTTAGCAGTACAAATCTCACTGGTTCAAGGTTGACCCATCCTTCCATCCTTCCAAGGTCGGCAAAATACATTGTTGGGGGAAATAGGCTGACTCTGTAACCTGGATAGAGAGGGTTGTAAAAGTACTGTGAAGCGGTATATAAGTCCAAGTGCTATTGCTATCACAGGAGATTTTTAAGAAGAGACTGGATAGGCACCTGTCTGAAATGGTCCAGGGTCTCCTTCTTGAGTAGGGGATTGGACTAGAAGGTCCAACCTCCAAGGTCCTTTTCAGCTCCATTCTGATTGAAATATTGATCTCCTGTTAAATGAAATGCTTGAATTAAGAATGGATGCCACTAAACTGGCTATATAATAGCTTTAGTTAGTGTTCACTGGGAATATCAGTTGCTATACATTATCCCCAAATCAAAGAAGTGCTGCTAAAGTAGTTAAACAGGGCCTAGAGTGAGTTATGTGTTGCCATTAAGTAGTTGGTTTAACATGTTTTGGACATGCCCAATGTTATAAGCAAGTATGACATTTCCTGTATGTGGCTGAGCGTAAATATGAATCATTTTAACACACAGCTTCTCTTACCCTCCAACTATTTAATCTTGATGTACTCATCAAGAGTCCCTGCTTCTTTACTTAGTTTGCCCCATTTAAGGTATGTTTTGGCAGGACAAAAAGTATAAAACAAGCAATAAAGCTGTGAGCAAAGTTCTGGTAGGGAAAAAAAACAGGTTTTGATACTGAATAAATTTCCTGAGTTACTGACTTTGCTTCTAGAAATTCTGTTTGTAATGTAAATTGCCAAAATCAGGTGTTGTTTTTTTTTAAAGCGTGGAACCCTCTTTGTGTTAAGATGAATGTTCTTTAGGGGGCTGCTCTCATATTCATGTCAGTTGTAGTTGCAAACATTATTATTTCAGAATTTATTTTATGTCACTTTTTATGTATTGGAAGCTCCACCCTCTTTGTAACTTTGGACATTTATGATTTGGATTGTTTTAATTTGTGAACAGTAGGGCCAGCATGCAAATTTTTAAAATAAAAAAAGGAATTTTTTTTCCCCAGTAAGCATTGTTTACTTGAGAATATTAAAATAGAAATTGAGTTCTATCATGCTTCATGTTTCTGACATGAATTATCTTGAACCAGTCACTCTTTCCTGAATGCTCCTGTCAGTCTTCCTTGGCATTGTCCATCAAAATTATCTGAAGACTCATCCCAACTGTAGCACTAACACAGTTAAAAACGTTAATATAGATTTCTATTATTAAAATCAGCAGTGGAGACTTCCGGTTTAAGCTTCTTCGGCGACAGACCGAAACCTCGTCTCTGCGAGGCTTCGATCTGTGCTCGCCGCTGGAGCGCCCTGAGCCGGCTGGTTTCGGGGCTAAGCCACCCCGTAGAGGTGGTGAAGAAGGGGGAGACTGCCTGCAAGGTTGAGGAGAGCCGCATCTCTCCTCCCCAGCTGGCCATTACTCCCTTTCCCGAAGGTGGTTGTAGCAGTGGTCAGAAATGGCCACCACAAAGAAGAACTCGACCGGAAAAGAATGTGCAGAGGAAGATAAGAAGAGAAAGTTTTGGTTGACTGGGTCAAACAGCAAAAGCAACAAATAAGGTACCCTGGAATTGAAACTATTAAAAAAAAACCAATAACATTGTTCCCTAAGGAGATTTTTAAGCTGCGAAGGAGAGAGACAAGGGAAAAGATTTGGTTTTTTTCTTCTCCTTTTCCTATACTGACAGCTAAGAGACTTAGCAAGAAATTGGAAAAAAATCCACTTTGACATTAATAGGCATTTAATGCTGAAAATAAAAAGTCAAAGGGATAATAAAGATTTCTGGATAATCAAAAGCTTTTGAAAACAGGAGAGAAAAAGGATAAAAGGGCAGGATCTGGAAGGGAGGAGACTGCCTGGAATTAAAAAGAACTTACAGCAAAATTTCAACAAGACTTCCAAAAGATACATTTTAACTGAAATATCGCAACAAAAACCCCAGGAAGAGAAAGTGGAAAAAGAAATAAGAAGAAATAACTTGGGACTATTTGGATTACTTGATGATTTCTGGATTCTTGGTTATTATATTTGAATGACTAAAATCAATCGGGTGGTTGTTTAAAACTGTTTAAAATGGCTCCACTTTTAGAAGAACTGAAAACGGAACTTAAAAAGTACAAAGAAGATGCACAAGAAGGGAGAGGTTCTTTTGGCTTCGTATTTCAGTTTTTAGAAATGGAGATTTGGAATTATAAGAGACAACAAAAAATGCCTGCAGAATAAGAAGATTGCGACAAGGAAGAAGCCATCTTTAATGAAGAAGTAATCTTAGGTGGGGGAAAAAAAGGAAAGGGGGGGGGGGGAAAGAGAATGGAAAATTTAAGATTGGGAAAAACAACTCCAAAAAAAAAATAGAGTGAAAAATAAGTATAAAATCAGAAAGCAACAGAAGAGGGAAATGCAGAAGAGAGAATTAGAAGTAGAGACACAAGGGGGTAAAAAGGGGAGGGAGAAGAAGAGAGGGAAGAAAGAAAGGAAAAGAAGTTATAAAGGACAGAAACAAAATATAAACAGGGCTTATTTAGAGATAATGGGTGAAAATTTAATGGAAAAAGGGAATCTGCAAAGGTACATAAGATAGTATTGTTATATTAGAAACAGAAATAATTTTAGAAAATATGAAACAATGTATGATTAAAATGTTTGATAAAATAGCTATCATAATTCAGTGGAATGCTTGTCAATAAATAAGGTATATTTAATGATTTACAAAACATATGTGAAGAGAAATAAGGGAAAAATTAATTATGGAGATTATATGTGTCTTTAAGGAAGTATATTTAATTGAAAAGAAGTGTTAAAGATGTTAAGATGTTAATGATTATTAATGATAGAACTGAATTGGAATAGAATGAGGGTTTATAATTACATATATTTATAATCTTTTTTTTAAAAGAATATAGGGTGTATTATAAGAATGCACCAGCAGAATTTGATTGGAAGTTATGTATTATGTATTATATTGAAGGTCATAACCTTAAGGTATATATTGAAGTTTAAATAAGAGTTGAATGGATGTAATTAAAAGATATAAAGGTGTCATACTCCAATTAGTAACTACAGGAGAAAATTTGTTTAATGAGAAAAGATAATATGAAATTGAAACAGAACAGACAAAAGTATAAATATAATGATTTGAATTGAGATGAGATAATCAAAATAAAATTGAGAAAATTAAAAGAGGGGAAAAACTATATAGAAAATGTAAAATAGTATAAGATATGGAATAGAATACAAAAAGGAGCATGAAATTGAGTTTTGTGTCTGTATAAAGAAGTTCAACCCGGGACCATGCTATTTTCAAAAAAGATGTTTTACTTGTATTTTGTATGTGTGAAAACCCAAATAAAACTTTATTTAAAAAAAAATCAGCAGTGACACACACACACACACACACAGAGCTAGATCAATTCTATTTATTTATTTATTTTATTTATTTGATTTGCCAATTGTTTAACAGATAATAAGTATAAGTGTATACATAGTTGTGAATACATGAAATGGGTACATATAAGAAAAATAAAAGAAGAATAAGAGAAACAATAGGACAGGGACGGTAGGCACGTTGGTGCGCTTATGCACGCCCCCTACAGACCTCTTAGGAAAGGGGTGAGGTCAATAGTAGACAGTCTAAGGTTAAAGTTTTTGGGGTTTGGGGAAGAAACTACAGAGTCGGGTAGAGTATTCCAGACATTGACCACTCTATTGCTGAAGTCGTATTTCCTGCAATCAAGTCTGGTGCGGTTAACTTTGAGTTTGTATCTATTGTGTGCTCTTGTGTTGTTATGGTTGAAGCTGAAGTATTCATTGACAGGTAGGACATTGCAATGTATGATTTTATATACCATGCTTAAATTCTTCTAACACATTTTGTGTACATTTCCTGAGAGTTCAATGTTTCTTTTGTGATCTGATTAGATTCAATCCCCTTCTCTTCCTATGCCAGTTGAAAAAACTTCTATAAAGTGTAATGAATGTATGGCTTTGTTTCTGTCTCAGAAGGATGTCAGCATATGGCATCTTAAGGCTCTTTCAAGGTGAGCATGATTAGGAAGCATAGCAACTATGAGCAAATCAACCTTCATTTGTATTCTGACCTATTTCCAAATGCAAAAGAAAAAAAAAACACATTGTATTTATATATACACAAATAACTTTGGAATGATCAAGTGATTTTCCCCTCTCTTTTAGGCCCTTGCTTTATGTCAGTACCTGGAATCAAATCAAGAGGAAATTGACTTCAAAGAAAAGAAAGTCCTTGAAATTGGAGCTGGGACAGGTCTAGTGTCTATTGTGGCAAGTGTATTAGGTAACTTGTACACTGATTTTTCAGACTGTAAAATACCATAGGAATTCATTTCCTTTTCAATCATGCACTTCAAACATGGATACACTTTCACTGCTCTGTCTTTCCTAAATGTTCATTCAACATCTGATCAGTTTCTGACCTCAGTCCAATTTTCAGAAATTGCTTCCCCTCCATTGATTTTTCATCATTCTGCGTGCATGTATTGTGTGCAGTATTGTATCAATTATGCACATCAATGCTGATTTATTATGCTCAGCAAAAGTATAATAGCTAGGAATGGCTCACCTAAAAGGCATTCTGCAGTATTTTATTCATAAAACTAGTGTTTAAAAAATAATTAACTACAAGTAGACTCACATCTTCTAAATCATATATGATTTGCTTGGATTTTGCTCAATATGGTGTGCAAATGAAGCAACTCTATCTAGCTTATTTAACAATTAGTCCTCAATTTACAATCACAATTGAGCCCCACATTTCTGTTGTTAAGTGAATTTTGCTCCATTTTACGACCTTTCTTGCCACAGTTGGTAATTGAATCACTGCAACTGATAAGTTAGTCACACGTTTTGTTAAGTGAATCTGGCTTCTCCCACTGATTTTTCTGGTCAGAAGTTCACAAAAGTTGATCACGTGGCTTTGGGACACAGCAACGGTCATGAATATGAATGAGACGCCAACCATCTGAATTTTGATCACATGATCAGAGAGGCTGGAATGGTCATAACTGTTAAAAAAAGGTTGTAAGTTACCGTTGTAACTTTGAACCGTCACTCAACGAACTGTTGTAAGTTGAGAACTACTTGTATTAGTTATGTAAACCATGGTTTAGCATGATGCAATTCAGGGGTGGGATTCAACCGGTATTACTACCGGTTCGGTGAGTATGTTTTGTGTGCGCGTGTAAAAAATCTTAAGCTGTGCTGCCCAGACAGCTGAAAAGCGCTGCACACAGGCGCGCAGCATTTGAAAAGCCACTTTTTTCCTGCTTTTTCAACCTCAGCGGTGCTGCGCAAAGCAGCTGAGGTTGAAAAAGCAGGAAATAAAGGACAGGTAAGAGCCCGGGCGGGCGGGTGGGCCAAACAGCAGCAAACAAAGAACCAGTTTGGTGTCTGCTGCTCTTAATAGCTACTGGTTCTATAGAGCCAAGCAGAACCGGTAGCATCCCGCCTCTGATGCAATTCCAGTCCATTTTATGATTTGCTGGCGCAAGTGGGCAGACAATTTAAGTACATTACTGACTGAATTAATATTAGGACCTACCTCCTTTCCCCAATTGACATTTTATCAAAGCAGGTAATGGATTGAGCAATGTTATTATTATTATTATTTACCTTTCAGGTGCTTTTGTCACAGCAACTGACTTGCCTGAGGTACTTGAAAACTTGGAGTTCAATATTACTAGGAATACACAGAATCTAGCCATTCACAAGCCTGAAGTGAGGAAGCTCATTTGGGGCATGAATCTCCCTGAAGACTTTCCCAAAGCAACCCACCATTATGATTTCATTGTGGCTACTGATGTTGTCTATCACCACACAGCTCTAGATTCTCTGCTGGATACATTTCGCTACTTATGCCAGCCTGGGACCACATTGCTTTGGGCAAATAAATTTAGATTCAGCACAGATTATGAATTTTTGGACTCAATGAGCAACATATTCAATATAACCCAGCTAGCGGAATTTCCTGAGTCAAGTATCAAGTTGTTTCAAGGCACCATCAAAGAGAATTAAGATGAGGAAGCAGAATTCAGAATGAAGTGCAAAAGCTGAGACCTTATCAGAAGAATCTGATTCTTAAACTTTCAAGATTTAACCCTTTCAATTCGGTACTTATTTGCAGTTTTTCTCAATGACAAGTTGTTTCAACAAAAGAATAGATAATAGGAAGCCTGCACCTCTTGGTCATGTTTTGTCCCTTAGCTATATTATCTATAAGGAACCTCTGTGGCGCAGTGGTTAGAGTGCAGTACTGCAAACTACTTCTGCAGCCAGCTGCCTACAATTTGGCAGTTCAAATCCCACCAGGCTCAAGGTTGACTCAGCCTTCCATCCTTCTGAGGTGGGTAAAATGAGGACCCGAATTGTTGGGGGCAATAGGCTGACTATGTAAACCGCTTAGAGAAAGCTGTAAAGCACTATAAAGTGGTATTTAAGTCTAAGTGCTATTGCTATACCAATGACCAGTATCTGACACAGTCTGGCATTCCTTCATTGATGTTTAATTCAGCAGTCCCCAACCTTTTTGGTTTTATGGAAGCTGACGTTTCCATGGGCCGAGGTTAGTGGTGGGGGTTTGGGTTTTGCTTGCTCACCTGCCACTCATCTTCAGCTGTGCAGCCTCGTTTCCTACCAAGAACACAGACCGGTATGGGTTCATGGTACAGAAATTGGAGACCCCTGGTTTAATAGATATTTATAAACTAAGGCTTGAAACTCTATGGATCTAATCACACTGTCGGATTAGAAATACTGTAGAAATGAGGTCCACTTTTATCCTAGAATATGTCCTCATAAACCAAGATTCCCAAGATAAATTGCCATTCATATGCCATGGAAGATAGGAGTTTACACTTTTTCTGATTAGAATACAAGAAAATGTGAGTGTATAGTCCTCTGACAGAGCCACACTGCTGAAAAATTAAAACAGATTTCAAATTTATTCGATATTTTATTTTTTAAAAAATTAAACCATGAGTACTCAAACCTTTGACATTTAAATCTGCACATTTATTCTGCAGTTTTATGTTTTTCAAACATTATTAACATGTATGTATAAGTTTTACAATACCTGATTAAGTGTTGACTGACACTTTATACATGTATCGGGTTTTTGCCGATACTCTGCATCATTTGGATATTTGTGAGTATCTCCAAATTGAAGATATATCCAAGAGCACCTTTGCACCAGTAATTCAGAACACATTGTTAGTTAAATGTGGAAGTTATTCTTTTAAAAAATAAAATAAAATGTAAACTCTTGCAAATGGTACTGGTAATTAAGTTCGGTTATTATTAAATCTAATAAATAAGTTTTTAGCTACTTTTGTTGTAGCTTCATTTAAGGCCTTCATACAATTGCAAGTTTATGTTTAAACATGTTAAAATCCTGTTCATTGTAAAAATAACAGCTTGTATAGCCTTATGATTAAAATTACAAACAGTTAAGATCCATATACACATGCAAGAAGCTATTTCACTTTCATTTTTTAAACTTTGGTGCTGGCTGTTTTCAAACATCCATTGCCAGCAATGTGATGTATGCAATAGGTTTTGTCTTTAAATTTTCACTTCTAAAGCAAACAAAGTACTCAAGGAACTAAGAATTCAGTTTAAATAGACTTCTTCATGTCTGGACCCAAACTACATAAATATACTGCAGCCCCTTATCCTCTGATTAATACATACAAGTGAAGCATTCAGTAACAGATGAAAACATGCAATCCAGTAAGTTCACAGATTTTATATTTAGTCAATATAAGAACATCTTGAATTCACAACTGCAGTATTTTAAAACACACAATAATCAGGTGGGAACATCACAGGAAGCCAGTTTTCACTAAAAGACGCACAGTGAGTCCATCCAAGTAGCCTCATCAGCTAAAAGGTTAAGAGCAAAAAACAAAACAAAACTTTTATATACAAGTAAACTTTATATTAAGCTAAAGTCATGAAAATGAAATTTAATGTATTTAGCTACTAAAATTAGAATACAATGTATTAGACTTTCACTTAGATATTTCTAGAAAATTTGTCCTCATTTACTAATTTTATTAGTTTATTGAAAATAAAATACAAAGAAAAATGAAAATAATAGGAAAGTAGGGAAAAGGGAAGAGTATGAAGTAAAAGGAGAAAGAAGAAAAGCTTTTGACATGTTTTAGTGCAGTAGAATAAGATAACCTTAACTTTTTCCTTTTGCTTAATCCTATGTACCAGTCATTTCTATCACAACAAACTATCTAATCAGCAAAATCCCAAATCACTGTTTCATTTTTTCCTACCTCAAGCACAAAGTCCTGAAATGGTTTCCATGTACAGTAAAAACAATGTTATTGTATTATTTTCTTTAATTAAAGCAGTCAATTTAGCCATCTCTGCTAACTTCATTAGCTTTTGCAGCCAGTCATCCCTTGTAGGAATTAAAGTTCCACTTTTTTGTGCATAGAGCAAGCATTCTTGCTCGTGTCAGCAACTGGGTTACTGCTATTGAGTAAGGTACCACATATACTGTACCCGTGCATTTGATTTTTCTTGCCTAAATGTAGAACCTTACTTTTTTCACCATTATCTATTAGGCCTAGAAAATGTGTCCTAATTTGATTTTATACTTCTAGAATGTTACTGAAACTTGTATACTGATTGAACTGAACTGAATATGCAAAAACAACTTACCTGTATACAGTTCTTCAAATTTTCTTTGGTGGGTTTCTCCTCTGCAAGTTTACTTGCAAATTTGAGACTTCTGCCGTACATTTTGTTTACCAGTGCATGCTTGTAAGCAAAGAACAAAACCTATAGAAGAGCATTAAAAAAACGGAGGCAGAGATTTGTAAGCAGAATATAAATTCTGCAAAGATCAATCATCCATATTCAACTTTTGGAGTTGACAGTAGACAAGTCAGAACTAGAATAAAAATCACCTTCAGTATAGGCAGTCCTCAACTTATGACTACATTGAGCCCAAAATTTCTGTGGCTAAGTGAGACATTTGTGAAATGGGTTTTGCCCCATTTTATCACCTTGCTGCCACAGTTGTTAAGTGAATCACTTGTTAAGTTAATAACATGAGTAGGATTAAGGTGAATCTGGCTTTCCCATTGACTTTGCCTGTCAGGTTGCAAAAGGTGAACACTGCAACCCTTGGACACTGCAACCGTCATTAATATGAGTCAGTTGCCAATTTTGATCATGTGACCATGGGGATGCTGGGTCGTTAAGTGTGGAAAAACAGTCATAAGTCACTTTTTTCAGTACCGTTGTAACTTTGAACAGTCACTAAATGAATTATTGTAAACCAAGGACTACCTGTATTTGATGGATACAGGGGAATCATGAAACGTTGTTTGAGTTATTCCCAGCTGCATAATTCTAACAGTTTATATTAAGGTTATTTTAAAACTTATTTAAATATATTTTAAAGAATGAGGCATTCATTTACATCAGGGGTGTTAAAACTTGTGACAACATGTTGTAATGTGATGCATCGCAACTTTTTTCCCCTTCATTAAACTGGGGTGGGTGTGCCCAGTGTGTGATGCATCTGGCCCGTGGACTGCGAGTTTGACACTCGATTTACATGATGCTATCAACATTCAGAGCACCAAATAAGGGACATAGTAATAGCTTTCTAAGCATGCTTAGATTTAGTTAAACATGCTTAGATTTATCTGCAACAGAATTAGTTTACAATAGACTACAGCCAGAGGTTATTTATTAATCAAATTTATATAACTGTCCATCTAATGAGACCGTGTAAAGTGTATAAAGGTAATATGCCAAAGAAAAATGGTAGAAAGCCACTGCCATTATGTCTTTATAAGAGCTCTGGGCTACTGAATGCATTATGCTACAAAAGATTTGAGTTACTTATTTTGACAGCAGTTTTCGTGTGCAAATATTTTTAAACAATTTAAATATAAAACACTGGTCTCCACCTAAACTGATAACAGGTGTCATAACCTGAATATTCCTTTCTTCAACGGTATGAATGAATAGTTCTATTCCTCACAACATACCTTGCTGTCAAACAGGTCAGTCCATTTTGATGTTTCCCAGAAAGTCTCTGTCAGAGTAGTCAAGATGGCGTTTTGGTTATCATCTTTACATTCAACGTCACTTGATGCAGCCCCTTCCTGGGCCTGTAACTGCAGAAGTTGATCTGATAATGCACATCCTTTCCGACAGAGAGCATCTACTAAGGTAGATTTCTGCTTTTCCATCTCACTATGTGGAAACAATATATATTTCATTCATGCAAACAGGTCTCTTTCATCATGCCTATATATACATTTTGCATAAACTCCTGAATTTCACAATCACACAAAATACACCTGCATCCCTTCTAAATATACAACATTTAAGAGAAGGTGACATTTCTAAACTGGAGTAAAGAGACCAGTTCCAAAGTGTGCATTTTTAACTAGGGATCTTCATCAAACAAACAAACAAACAGTTCTACTACCTTCAAAGGAAGAACAGTAACATTTCTTTATCCATTCATTTACTTATTTGTTTTACATGGCCACTCATCTCACAAATTCAATTTTAGGTGGCTAGAAACATAGAGAAACAAGAAATCATATTAACAGGGAGTAAAACCCTTTGGCGGTTGCTGAGGGTAAAACCAGATAAAACAATTAAGAAAAAGCTCTCAATCTCATTTTCAGTCTTCTGAAGGAAAGGTTTTTCCAATTTGCTTTTAAAAATACCTACGTTATGGTTTTTCAGTTTACCATTTGTTTTCCATTTAAATACTTAAGTACTTTTTTTTTTACTTGCCATAATCTAATACAAATGTGTAATAACATACAAAGATTTGGGCAGAGGCAGGGAGGAAGCAGAATGGAATTGTTGGCTGGCTCATGACGATCTTCCATCTTTCCTCCTTGACAATATCATCCCAACATTAAAAATAGTGTTTTAAAACATACAATGCAATTAGGTGTGCTCAGTCTATGACTGTTTTCTTTTCTCGTGAATGAAAATATTTAATTTTTAAGCTTAGAAGAACAGATAACTTTGCTGAAATAAAATGCAAGGAAAAAAAGTATTTACTGGCTAGGTACTTTTTTATAGTAGCAGCATCCGGTCTGGGATCAGTCTTCATAGCAAGATAAATAGCAAGAGCTGTTTGATCGATATGAGAG